ATTGAAAACTTTTTCCAGATAAAGGACAAATAGCATAACAAGGTGTCATGTTAAAAGAATACTTAAAAGCAAGAAGACATAATAGAAATTGTGCTGCTCGCTGCACTCTCCCATTCTTTTCCAACCTTATCATTGCTAAACTCAGATTCTCCAAAACAGTGATGTCCAATAAAACTTCCTGTGATGGTGGAAATGTATTATTATCCACACAGCCCAATACAGTAGCCACTAGTTACATGTTGATGACTACTGCCCATTTTAAATGTATCTATGGCAACAGAAAAACTGAGATTCAGGATTATTTAAATTGTTGTTAAATTTAAGTTGTCACATGTAACTACTGGCAACTGTATTAACTCAGTTCTAAATGGTGTTGCTCTGTTTTTAATAGTTGCTGCTAAATTTATAACAGCAGCACTGTTAAGTAAGAAAAGAGATAATAAAGGAGCCATATCCTGAGTTTGTCATCTATTTCATTATGTTTTCTCACTTGGAAAAAATTATCATTCTGTATTAGTCAACAAAAAGTGCAAATGCCACAGCTATCATTTTGTCCTAAAATTACAGAAAATAAAGTTTTACAAGCAATTCTACAGTATATGTCTAACACAGAATGTATGCCTAACTGCATCTAATCAACTACAAGTTATTTGCATACCACTGTAGCATCTCATTTTTAGGCTTAACTGCCTTTTGGTGAATCACGCATTATGCATTAGAAATCTCTACAGAAAGAGATTTAACTTCTATCTCACTTTTTTCTTTCTGCAGTTGCTTATTTAACAAATTTGGTGAATGGAAAAAATTATCAGTGTTCAATTAATAAATCCTAAACTTCTCAACATAAGTGATTTACCCTCAGTACGGATGAGAACACTAGACTAGAATCTGTCTAAAATTTTTGCTTTAAATCTAAAAAGGAAAAAAAAAAAATCAGTTTTAGACTAGTGAAGCAATACAACCAAGACTAGAGTTCCAGGACAGAACTTAACATCTTTCTCACTTTCTGTGCAATCCTTATCAAATAATTCAAGTTTTTCTGTAAAAAGAAATACAGCAATTAAAAAAAAATACAATGCTTTTAAATTTGTGAAGGGTCTACCACTTAACACTCACTCCAGTGTGTTATATTAATTTCTCTAAAACTTAAGTCAATATGTGGCACTATTTTCTATGTTAAAATTACCTACCCAAATCCCTCTTATCTTTTGATCCATACTTTGATTGCGCAATTGTAGCACATCTTGTTCTGGTGGGCATATACTGTTTTTTCCCTGTTTTAAAAAAGTTCAAAAGAATTTAATGATCAAGAAAGAAAGAATATTACTATCTGATTTCAAATTGGGCAAAAGCCTTGTATGGTCATGTCGATGACAGAGTTTGCCATGACACAAAAACCACACAATCTCTTCTCTGATTATTAAATACACCTATGATATCTCAGTATCTTGCACTGTTTCCTAGTCCTCTTTGTATTTCTAATTGCAAAATTTCTAACACAATCATTTTACTTCTCGTTTAAGCTGGAGGCAGGAGGCACTCATTTGACAATTCACAATATCCAGTCTAAATGGGATAAAAGTAATTTTTAAATGTGCCTCAACTATATGCTAACAGTACTACAAAAAAGTACCCCCCCCAACAGTATTTATTTATAGCTTGGAATGTTACCAAAACAATACTCCTTAACTCCTTTATGCAGAGTACAAGCTTTCCTTGAAATGTTACCTCTTCTCTCAAAAATGAAAAGTAAAAATACACTGAGGCCAATAATCGCCCTACCAACTACTGAAAATGTAATTACTTCTTCAATATTAAAGTTCACAAACAGTGTATTCACAAACATGTGTTCTCCTCTCAAATGACATAATTTGCTTTCTTTTCTGAGGTACTTGGGTATATGAAAATTGCCCTACAACCCAAAATGTGACTTCTATGAAACATTAATTTGAAAACTCAATTTTTCGAGTCATCCAAAAAACACGTGTTTAGTTCTTCTGAAAGAGACCTTTAGTTACAAGTTTTATTCTAGTTTATAACAACAAGGAACCATTATGTGTTTAGCATTAGAGACTTTTATTTCAAAACATAAATGTTTTGTCAGCACTACAACCAACAGATGACAAAAAGTTAGCAGGGTTTGTTTATGCCTTAGCCCTGTTTATAACAGATTTTACACTTGAAAAAAAAAAAGAAAGAAGAAATTGAAAAAACAAAAACCCTTGCCATTATTTGAAAGAATTAAGGTCAAGTATGGTCAATTTTCAAGTAACAAGGTATTTCACATAAAATTAAGAAAATGCTCAAAAAGAGTTTTTTTATTGAGACCAATCCCTTGAAAATTTCCTCACACTCTGATCACTCCAACACTCCACACTCCTTTAGCACTTACACTTTTATTCAAGAGGTCTGCATTTAAATATATATATTCATATATATTTATTTTCTGTCCTTCCCTTATTTAACCACTCATTCCAAGAAAAAAATAAACAAGAGATTTCATTTTTCCTTAGCAATTATAGCATAGTAATTTTAAGAATGTGCTGAATGCATGACATTTACTTTCTCAGTTTTAAACCATGTAATACTATTATGACATGACTAAATTTAAATGCTGAATCAAGACTATTTCCTAAAGGCGGTCATATTTAAAAATCTGAAAAAAATATAATTTGTAAAATGGAAGAAAATTATTTTTACCTCATAAGCTATATTTTCCCACTTTGATACTAATACTATTATAGTATAATCACCTCACTATAATTTTACAATTTTTTTTCTCAATAATCTCAAACGAACTTTATGAATATACTATACAAATTATTCAATTATTAAATATGAGTTAGCACTCCTGTTAGAAGGATAGCTCAGTTTATCAATAAAGAAATTAAAACAACAAGCAATTTGTTAAGGAAATCAATGAGATGAAACCAGAAATTCCATCTATCATTTCTTTCAAGGGAAATATAAAAGTACTTGGTGCATACTTTTCAAGAGCTACACATATACACACACACATGCAAATTTGTTTTCAATTAACAAATGGGACACACACTTTCTGAAATCAAGTTGCTTTCTCCCTAAGAGCACCTATTCAAATCTTTCATTTTGTCCATAACATTTTCACTACTCCTTGTCAAAATTCTTGAACAGGTGTTAACATGTGGCTCAAAGAATATTTTCTAATTTTCACACAACAAATAAGGTATCTTTTTGATGACAGTCTTATAATCCTAATTCTTCCCTGCATATGTTGTCTTATGTCACAAAGTCTACCATCTATATTAAGAGTTCATAGCTATCATTCTAAAACCTTTCCATCCTTTCAACTAAAACACTGAACCATGTCTACTCAATTTCCTGTTTCTTTCACTTTAACCACCTGTCTTCAGTCAAAATCTTTTTTCCTTTTTCTACCTAACTTCATTTTCTTCCCAAGTCTCAGAACCTTAAAAGATATGAAATGTTATTCTCACATATTAATTCCTTCTCTATTTATACCACTATCTTTTTTCTAACTTCTTGTAACAAGTTTCTCAATCTTGTTCAAGAGAACTTTCATTGGTTTCAAAATAGCTTACACATATTATCAAAATTAACTCAACAAGCACCTTTTTGAGAAGCCATGACATCCTAGTATAATGGTGGGACTATAGACACTCTATTGCCCTGTTAAGTTTACAGTTTGGTAAGCAAGAAAGGCACAGCAAATAACTGCAAAATAACACAGTACTCACTAAGACAAAAGTACACTCTGGGTGTTAAGAGAAGCACTCAGTTTAACATAGAAGCTAGACAAAATACTCTCAAGCCAGCAGTTCCTGAGCAACGGCTTAGAACCCCAGAAGAAATCAGACTGGTGGTGAAGGCTAGGGGGGATTCCAGACAGAAGTAACAAGTGTAACGACAGGAGAAATTAAATAGCATTGTGTGGATGAGAACTTCCAAGCTATTTTCCATTATTACAGTGTAAAGTGAGAAGAGGAAAACAGTGGAAAATGAAGTTAGAGATGTAGGTAGGGGCCAAGACACAGTTTGTCTTGAACTTGGACACAGTAATTGAGTCTGTCTTACACAAAGCTTCTGCCATCACCTATTATCTGTGTGAGATAGGAGTATCCCAGCTTTGGAGACACAAGACCATTTGTGGAGCAAAAATACTAAGATTACCTTGAAATTCTGAGATTAAGATATTTTATCAACAACATTAAACAGCATTTAATGCCAATCAGTAGCTATAAACATCTATATGAATGGAATCTTTCTGGCTGTTTCCTAACTTTAAGAACATTTACAAACAAAACCAAAAAATTCTCTTTAAGGACAAGTTAGTAACCACACTTTTCAAATCCAGAATGCACAGAAATACCTACAGTTTATATAATGCAGTTACTACATCATAATGAGATAGAAACAAAGATTAAAAAAAAAAACTCGGCTATATAAGCATAAATTATTCATATAATGAAGAAAAGTTAAGAGTTCTGTGTAAAATTTTCTGTATGTTCGTATGTGTACACGCATGTTTGTTTATTTTGTTCGGCTGTATAAACCTTCTTCCAAGATCTTTTTTGGAGAGGGGTTGGAGTTGAGGGAAGGAAAATTCTGTTAAACAGTAAATCATACCAGTAATTAAAAAAATACTTTATCTTCAAAAATAATACTAAGGTCTCTACCAACACTTAACATCTATAAAACAAATGAGTGTGCCCTATTTAAAATTCTAGAAATTTGTAATAAACAACACCTTTAGATGTTTCATATTTTAAAACAATACTATATGAAATGTTTTATGAAAGAATATATAAGTTAAATATAATCTTTTACTTCTAAACTGGAAAAAAATACAGCAGCTGATAAAAACATACGCACTTTTCAACAAGAGCCAAAGCCAAAGTCATTTCTTTTTTCTTCCTTCACCTCTGCTTAAACAAAACAGCCCCAAGCAAAAGTTTTCATTACATTCTAATTAATATATTAAGAAAGAGAAGTAAACCTACTTGTATCTGCTTGGCTGCCCACACTGATGTATCTATCATTGCCAGGAAGTGCTGTTTGGTAGTAAGTTGTTTCCTCTTGCTGAGGGGTCTTGGCATTCTTTGCCGTAAGGAAAGCCACTGCTAGCTCCAAGTTTCCATTACTATCCTTCAAATATCAAGAACAGAACATCAAATATTTTGTAGTAAGTATACACTTGCATATGATTTATGTAATTTTCTCCATAACAACACTAATAGTAAAAATCATTTTCAGACTTAAAATTATACTACTTGAGTCTTAATTTTACAATATAAATTCACTGTAAACACAGTATATCAACAGTAATTCCTTTATCTATTAATTAAAACTAATATAATACAAAAATCAATTATATAAATAATTTGTTTTCCATTGCTTTTTTATATCTGCTTAACAAAAGTCCAATCATAAACAAACTTCGAAGCAAATCAACAAACTAAAAAATGTTTTCTGGAACTTGCTATCTAAAACTGTGAAAAACAAATATTTAAAAATAGTACTTCAGCAAAGAAGAACAATAACAGATATTCTCTTTAATATTTATGCTGAATGCCTACTTAGAGGCAAACTAACAAGCAAATATCAGACTCATAAGAAGAAAACAGCATCAGTGGCCCGAAAGCTTGACAGAGAGACACACAGAACTCCAGAATACTGCGGAGATGAAAATTCTACCCAAATTAAATACATAAACAATATTCTAAAAATTCAGAAGAAAAACAGATGCTAAAAACACTAAGAATTTTTGACAACAAAATCATGAGAGAAACTTGCCTAGTTATCTCTATATTCTCTCTACAGTTAACAATAAAAACAACACTAGCTCTATGACTGCTCATTGAAACCACATTATGAAATCCAGTTATTAATAATGAAGCTATCTTTGTATCAAAGGCCAGAACACATAATACTGTGGAAGCCTTCAGAAATTTAGTTTACAAAGTTTAACTGGAAGCCAGTGGAAGGTTTTGGACAGAAATGACATGGTATGACTTACATTTTAAAAGGATTACTGTGGGTATATGTGGGGAACAGACTATAGGAGAGAATCATAAGCAGAGCCCAATATTATTTGCTATCATATTAAATGTGGGGAGGGATAAAAAGAGAAAGACCAGGATGACTCCACAATTTGATGTCTGAGCAACTGGAACAACTCACCCCAACTCCAATTCTAACAGCCTTTGAGGAGAGAAAACAGTAGGAGTGCACCGTTAAATGGCAGCCCACTCCAGTGCTCTTGCCTGGAGAACCCCATGGATGGAGGAGCCTGGTGGGCTACAGTCCACGGGGTCTCGAAGAGTCACACACGACTGAGCGACTTCACTTCACTTTATCTATCAAAACTGCTGTTAGACTCTTTAAGGACTCATTCAAAATATGAGATTAACATAGTCTATAGTTTGTAACAAACGAGACATAAAACAGTTTTAACAACTACTACCATTTATTGAACACTGTCTAAGTGTCAGGAAATGTGCCAAATGCTTTCCATATACTCCCTCATATGATAATAATGATAAACTGAATGGAGCAGGGATCTATACAACTTGAAGGTCACTTACTTTGAACATACAAAGAGATTCTCAAAATAAAAGTGCTAAAATCAATTAATGACATTGTGGCTCCCAAAAATAGACTCTGTGTCAGTATAATGCTGAGATAGTCAACTCATTATTAAACATTATACAAATTTATACTGAGCAACAATTAAGACTTAGGTACACTGTTTTCTCCCCTAGATACTGGTAACTGAAACAAGTTTAAAAGAAAAAAAAAAACACCGTGGTCACACAACTTACCTCAAAGGAAATGTGGACACTACTTTAATTTTTATGTTTATTTAATTAAACATATTCTACATGTTTCCTAAGTTTTGAAAAAAAATGTAAGTGAATTCCCCAAGTTTGCCCTGACAAGGTAATGGGTCTAACCCCAGACTCAGTGATACAGAATGGGAAAGGCCATTTCTGAAAACAGACATGGAATGATTGTCATATTTAGCAGAATAAAGAACGGACTGGCAATCATCTAAATGTCATAATCATAAAAATTGAGGTACGACATTTTTGCTTCCTTTCCAGCTACTTAAGAGCGGCTTCATAAACCATGCTTTAAAATGCTCCTAACAGTACTGGCTGATCATTTTCCTGATGGAGGAAAAAGCTGAAGCAAAGCTTCCAGTAAAAGCAGAAATTATGTGTGGTACTGGGAGCAGGCTGCTTGGTTTCTATTCCAAGCTCCTCCACATGTTAACTATGTGGTCTCCAGCAAGTCATTTTAACCTCTCTGTTTCCTTACCCTTTAAAAGGGACATAAAAATAACACCTACTTCAAAGTTACTAGGAGGAGGAGTTAGCCACACAAAGTACTTAGAATAGCACCTAGTACACTAAGGGCTTAATAAGTGCTAGTTATCACCACTACAATGATGATGATTATGATTACAACCATGCAAAAGATAAATTATTTCTAGAAACAAATGAAGTACTTCTGGGTCCAAATCAAAAATAATATAATTAATGTTGTCTTTCAGAGCAACGTGCAAAGGACTGAAGCTGTATGTGTGCCTACAGTAGCACGACTGCTGCACTGTTGATGTGAGCCTTTAGCAGTGATCTATAAATAGACTTCAAGTGGAGTTCTAGTTCTTGAACATTTTTCCTTCATTCGCTCTCTTTCAATCTTCGTATCTGTGTGATCTGACTCATCTGGGTGCCTCTGTGTGGCAATGAGTATATTTCACAAGCAACAACAAAAATCATGCCCTTTTTTTGTGCATAATCGAAGTTTGATGTTGAATGATCATAAATGTTCAATTAACTGAAGGTTAGCTGATTTATATTTCTCCTTCCTGGAACAGTAAATCAGAAGCTTCTAATACTGTATTAATTTTCTCCCAACTCCTCTTTCTCTTCTATGCCACTCTACCCGTCCATCCCCAACTAAACACTAAAATGTCTCTTGAGTAAAACTGGCCATTAGTACTTGGGAGTCACATCACTCCATTTCGCATGAAAACTGTTTTATGTGGAGGGAGGTCTTCTTTCACTCCAAGGCATCATGGAACATCACGGTGCTGAAAGCTAATGTGCTCAAAATTGCAGTATGTTATGTTAATTCAGTTCAGTTACTCAGTCATGTCTGACTCTTTGCAACTCCATGGACTGCAGCACGTCAGGCTCCCCTATCCATCACCAACTCCCGGAGCTTACTCAAACTCATGTCCATTGAGTCAGTGATGCCATCCAACCACCTCACCCTCTGTTGTCCCCTTCTACTTCCATCCTCAATCTTTCCCAGCATCAAGGTTTTTGCAAATGAGTCAGTTCTTTGCATCAGGTGGCCAAAGTATTGGAGTTTCAGCTTCAGCATCAGTCCTTCCAATGAATATTCAGGACTGATTTCTTTAGGATGGATTGGCTGGATCTCCTTGCAGTCCAAGGGATTCTCAAGAGTTTTCTCCAACACCACAGTTCAAAACCATCAATTCTTCGGTGCTCAGCTTTCTTTATAGTCCAATGCTATGTTAAGTAAGGCCTTTAGTTTATAAAAGTTCTTCCCTGTATCTATGGTACTACCCATTGTATAACTAAAAAACTCAACTTTCCAATATGGTAGGCAGTGGAGATGAGGGTGTAACAGAAACTGTATCTTGTGAAACAGAGGCCATACCTTCAAGGCTTGTTGTAGAATCTGGGCATCATTAATCCCCGTTATTTCTCGTAGCTGATTCAGAAACGTCTGCTGGTGCTGGAAGAAGGGAAAAACCGAAAGCATTATACACTGAAATCTGAAAATGTACAAAGACAAGAAAATAAATGACCTTAGGGGAAAAGAACAGAAAACACAAAATAGAGTAAAAAACAAAAAAATATAGAACTTGAGAAAGACTGAATAAATGTCATTATTTTAGGAAGAATGGTGCGTGAGTCCTTATTCCATCTTCATGTTTCTAAAAGCTGATTCTTCACTGTCTGATATGTGCCGTCTAATAACAGGAGTGATCTCTGTGACAGCTAAACCTAAGAAGAACTAAGGGAAACAGGTCTCCACTGGTGTACTTCAACTAGGGGATGAAACCCCAGAATGAAATTAAGGCAGCCCCATGAATCTCTCCCTGCCCCTAAAGTCAGCCAGCATCCAGGCATTTAGGATGTATGGAAAAAACATGCCTTTGGCAAGCAAGCAGCAGGTGGATATATTACACTGGGGGATGACTAAACCACCACACCCTATTCAAGGGGGAAAACAACACCTCATTCTCCAACCTGTCATAAAAGATCCAAAATAAAGTTGATTATTTGCCCTCATTTGCTTTGTGTGTGTGTTAGTCACTAAGTCGTGTCCAACTCTTTGCGATCCCATGGACTGTAGCCCACCAGGCTCCTCTGTCCATGGGATTCTCCAGGCAGGAAGACTGGAGTGGGTTGTCATTCCCTTTTCCAGGGGAACTTCCCAACCCAGGTATCAAACCTGCATCTCCCAGATTTTTTTGCAGGCAGATTCTTTACTGTCTGAGTCACGTGGGCCCATTTGCTTTAGATGTGTTTACACTCTATTGATCTACCATACTCTACTAAAGAGAAAAACAGGTAGGATGAGATTCTACTACCAAAACCCTTCCCTAAACTTCCCTAATTAAGAATATGGTCCTCCCTCTATCTCTACATTTCTTAATACAAGTTCCCCCAAACTGAAGACAGAATCATGAAATAGAGAAAGCTCAATGGGTGATATGACATGGAAAGCAAGTCCCCACTAGAATAAAAGGATCTGTAAAATCTTGTCTTCCCACTAAACATTCTTACATGACATTTATTAAATGTCACTCTATACTTCCTCCTCTAGCATCCAGTCCAAGTTCTAGATAAGATACAGGGCAAAGGACAAAGAGTGTCTGCTAAATGATTCCACATTCTTTAACAAGCCCCATGTGCCTCATTCACTGAGCAGAACAAAGTCATGTAATGTGGCCCTTCATGGTTGCAAAGAAGGTTGAGAAATGTATTTTTCAGCTAGGCAAAAAGTTCCACTTCGAATCTGTTGCTAAGGAAAAAGAAAAGAACGAAGAATGTACACTGAACAGCCACTGGCAGTATCTGCTATGACATCAACTAATGTTAATTTCCATAAAAATCTTACTAAAAGCGGAGATAACTGAGACTAAAAATAAAATACATAATAAAGTATATGAACAAAGGTCATATAAACAAAATAGTTAAATAAAAGAACTGAACTGCTGAATTTAGAGTGCTGAAATATGAGAAAAGTAAAATTCTCTTTAGACATGTCAACTTTTCTACTTTCATTTAAAAATTATCAGTAGCAAGCAATGGAACCACAACTAACTTACACAATACCCAACATTACAAATTAAAGATGTATACAAATTATACAGAAATTCTCTTTATCTAATTCAACATTTTATTTTAGTGAACATAAAATACTTGAAAGATTTTACAAGCTTATTTGTAACCACCCACACCAGCACTCCAAACCCTATTCTTTACACAGAATACAATTTTCCTCAACTGCAAATTATTCAATTGTGTTTCAGGGAAAGATTTCTGAATACCCCAAATAAATTAATCACTTGTACAAATGATGCTGGCTATTATTTATAATGCAATTAGAATGGAAACAATGCAAATATCCTTCCACTAATGAGGAAGTTCTGAGTTGTAATGTGCAAGACAATGTCCTGATAAATTTACCAGTAAAGAAGATTCCCAGGCCCCACACCCAGAGATTGTGATTCCAGAAGCATCTGGATCTGCTAAGGGATCTTCATTTTTAGTAAGCATCTCAAATGAGTTTTATACAGATGAGCCTAGAAGCACGGTTTAATTTAAACAAACAACTGTGTATTTTTAAATAGCAAATATATAATCTATATAGAAGTTAATCTTTACAAATCATATTAAGCCAAGCTTAAATCATATTAAGCTAAGATTACAAAAATAGTGTGTGTCTATGATAACGAGTACAAGGTTAAGATGTAAAAAGAATGTAAAACCCAGAAAAGTTTACAAAGCCTGCATTAGTCTCCCAATTCTTCTCCCATCTCTGTATCCACACACTTTGCCACTTCTCACTTCCTCCCACTAGTTGTTGCTGTTCAGTGGCTAAGTCATGTCCAACTCTTTGTGACCCATGGACTGCAGCACACCAGGCTCCTCTGTACTCCACTATCTTCTGGAGTTTGCTGAAATTCATGTCCATTGAGTTGGTAACGATATCTAACCATCTCATCCTCTGCCACTCCCTTCTCCTTTTGCTTTCTTTTTTTTTTTTTTTTTTTTTTTTCCTTTTTTTTTTTTTTTTTTTTTTTTTTTTTTTCCATTTTTTTTTTTTTTTTTTTAATTTTTATTAGTTGGAGGCTAATTACTTTACATCATTACAGTAGTTTTTGTTATACATTGATATGAATTAGCCCTGGATTTACATGTATTCCCCATCCCAGTCCCCCCTCCCACCTCCCTCTCCACCCGATCCCTCTGGGTCTTCCCAGTGCACCAGGCCCGAGCACTTGTCTCATGTACCCAACCTGAGCTGGTTATCCGTTTCACCCTAGATAATATACATGTTTCAATGCTGTTCTCCTGAGACATCCCACCCTCTCCTTCTCCCAGAGTCCACAAGTCTATTCCATACATCTGAGTCTCTTTTTCTGTTTTGCATATAGGGTTATCGTTACCATCTTTCTAAAGTCCATATATATGTGTTAGTATATTGTAATGGTCTTTATCTTTCTGGCTTATCTTTCCCAGCATCAGGGTCTTTTCCAATGAGTTGGCTCTTTGTATCAGATGGCCAAAACACTGAAGCTTCAGAGATGTATCTCCTTGCTACACTGATGGCTGGCTTGGCCATGAGACAAGCAAAATCAGTGGCACATTCACAGACATGAAATCTGCTTGCATGGTTGGGCTTGGCTTCTTGAACGCGTGCACTTCATTAAGAACACCGGGGTAGCCCACTTGTCCCCAGGAGAATGAGCCACATGAGAAGAGCCACTCCAACCAACCAGTCTGAACAAGGTAATACTTGGGATGTCACTGACTTTTGGTGTGGTCTGTTACAGTGACAGGTGACTGCAAGTAAGTACAATAAGGATACTCATATAAGAGTATTTTATAGAGAAAAGCAAAATCTAAAATGTTATCGTTTGGTGCACTTTGTCCATTTTTCACAATAATGTCAGCTAACTATCCTAACAAAATTATTCAGCTGCATGATGTCTAGCATGGTTCTTGATCTCATGAATTTTTACTGCAAGTGAAACAATGAAAAGGATTAGGGTGGGAAAGAAGGATGAGTGGAAAAAAGAAAAGGTAAATGAATTTCCTTAACTAAGTAAGAAATGGGAACAAGATCATTAGAAGTAAGCAATGAGAAAATTCTAAGTTTATGGAAGAGAAACCACCTCATCTGTCAAGTTTTCCTATTTGTTACTGGCATCTTCCAGCTGTGCTTTTTTCTATCTTTGAAAATTTGCACCTTCATTTCCTACAATCTTATGATTTTTGCTGCTGTTATTTCTGTTGTGATTAAGAACCTGGTCTCATTTCAAAGTCTGCACCTTCTTATTTACCAAACTTCTGGTCCTTGAAACACCCTGATCCTTAACCAAAAATGCCCTGCCATGTGGTTCTCTCTTCTTTGACTAATGATTTTGGATCCAAAGTGGACCTAACAGACTATCATCTCCAGAATTCCTTTTCTGAGCTGAGGTCTTCTTTGTATAAATTTCTTATCTACTACAGTATAACTGCACTCATCCCACACACTAGTAAAGTAATTCTCCAAGCCAGGCTTCAGCAATACATGAACCATGAACTTCCAAATGTTCAAGCTGGTTTTAGAAAAGGCAGAAGAACCAGAGATCAAATTGCCAATATCCGCTGGATCATCAAAAAAGCAAGAGAGTTCCAGAAAAACATCTATTTCTGCTCTACTGACTATGACAAAGCCTTTGACTGTGTGGATTACAATAAACTGTGGAAAATTCTGAAAGAGATGGGAATACCAGACCACCTGACCTGCCTCTTGAGAAACCTGTATGCAGGTTAGGAAGCAACAGTTAGAACTGGACATGGAACAACAGACTAGTTCCAAATCGGAAAAGGAGTACATCAAGGCTGTATATTGTCACCCTGCTTATTTAACTTATATGCAGAGTACATCATGAGAAATGCTCTGCTGGAGGAAGCACAAGCTGTAATCAAGATTGCCGGGAGAAATATCAATAACCTCAGATATGCAGATGACACCACCCTTATGGCACAAAGTGAAGAAGAACTAAAGATCCACTTGATGAAAATGGAAGAGGAGAATGAAAAAGTTGGCTTAAAGCTCAACATTCAGAAAACTAAGATCACGGCATCTGGTCCCATCACTTCAAGGCAAATAGATGAGGAAATAGTGGAAGGAGTGGCTGACCTTATTTTTTTGGGCTCCAAAATCACTGCAGATGGTGATTGCGCAGCCATGAACTTAAAAGACGCTTGCTCCTTGGAAGGAAAGTTATGACCAACCTAGACAGCATATTAAAAAGCAGAGGCATTACTTTGTCAACAAAGGTCCATCTAGTCAAGGCTCTGGTTTTTCCAGTGGTCTTGTATGGATGTGAGAGTTGGACTATAAAGAAAGCTGAGCACCAAAGAATTGATGCTTTTGAACTGTGGTGTTGGAGAAGACTCTTGAGAGTCCCTTGGACTGCAAGGAGATCAAACCAGTCCATCCTAAGG